GCAAAACTCGTGTCTCTCCGCTAAAGCCAATGTCCAACCCTCGTCTGGAATTACAAGTCGCTTTAATTGGTCCACGCTTGGCAGTTGGCATTGTTAAATCGCTAACAATTCCCATCGCCTCTCAAACGTTTTGGACTGATTCGCGGTCGGATCAGCGACGTTATCGCCAATTTGTCGCCTTTCGCATAAGTGAGATTCTTGAGTTCACTGATGTCGCCCTATGGAGATGGGTACCTACCGCCGAAAATGTGGCCGACGATGCAACAAAGTGGTCCAAATCTCCTGACTTATCCAATCATAGCCGCTGGCTGAATGGACTAGCATTTTTACAAGAAAACAAATCTAGTTGGCCTTTTGAACGTGAAACGAACCGCTCAACAAAAGAAGAACTGCGTTCGCAGTATGTAGCACACCATTTCGCCGCACGGTCCGTTGCTCAACTTGACATTGACTTCAGCCGATTTTCACGATATAGTAAACTACGCCGTGTCATCGCCACCGTGATCAGCATTGGTAATTACTGGATATCCGTGCTTAAATACCATAAACAAAAACGATCGCCCATAAGCAGTGAGGATTTAAAACGAGCCGAAATATTGATTATTTCCATTGTACAGCAGCAAAAGTTTGCTGATGAAGTAGCGGCTTTGAAAGAAGGAAAGGTAATTAAAAAATCAAGTTCAATTTTCAGCCTCACTCCTATTATGGATAGCGCTGGACTGATTCGCTTGGGTGGCCGAGTCAGATGTGCCTATTACGGAGACCCCATAATTTTGCCTAAAAACCACTGTGTCACGTATCTTATTGTAAATGAATATCATTAGCGTTACCACCACAGCAATTCGGAGACAGTTGTAAATGAGTTACGCCCAACATTTTGGATACCAAATCTTCGTGTAGTGGTAAACAAAGTTAGACGAGCATGCCAACTCTGCCGAAACCGCTCTGTTCACGCCCAAGCACCCAGGATGGGCCCACTGCCTGACGTTAGACTTGCTGTTTACTGCCGCCCCTTTTCGTATGTGGGTGTCGATTATTTTGGTAGCGGTGCGTAGAAGCCGTGAGAAACGCTGCGGTGTATTGTTCACCTGCCTTACGATACGCGCTGTACACCTGGAGCTGGTGTCTTCACTTTCAACGGATTCCTGCATCATCGCCGTACGAAACTTTACAGCTCGTCGTGGTGTCCCTATTGAAATGTGAAGCGATAATGGGACGAACTTCAAGGGCGCTGAACGAGAACTGAAAGCGGCCCTAAAAGCAGTAGACCAAGACAAAATAATCGCAACTTTTACAACCGCAACTACTATTTGGAAGTTTATTCCTCCCTCTTCACCACACATGGGAGGGGTATGGGAGCGACTAGTACGCTCCGTAAAGCATGTGTTGTATCAAATTCTGCCTTCTTGTACACCTTTATAAGAGGTATTGCGTGCAGCGCTGCTTGAAGTGGAGATGTGCGTCAACTCTCGGCCCCTTACCTACATCCCGGTGGACCCGGATCTTGAGGAAGCTTTAACGCCGAATCATTTTATACTAGGCAATTCATCTGGCGCTAAACCTTTGACACAAGAAGGCATCAATGGCGTATCATTACGTCGCAGTTGGCAAACAGCGCAAAAAATCGCAAATTCGTCTTGGAAACGATGAGTACGCGAATATCTCCCGATAATAACTAGAAGATGCAAATGGTTTTCTGATGTGAGGCCTATTCAAATTGGAGATTTTGTATATATCGTGGAATCTGAGAACCCTCGGAACTGCTGGCCACGCGGGAGAGTATGTGCAGTGAGGCAGTCAACGGATGGACAAGTACGAAGTGCTGTAATAAAAACAGCTGCCGGAACATATGAGAGGCCAGCCACGAAGATTGCAGTTTTGGATTTGGTAGGCAATCGTGACGATAGCATACCGGGGGGCAGTGTTGAGGAAAGTCTGGCAACTCCTCCGCATGCAATGTAAACTCAATATCTGGCAACACTGCATACATTGACTTATTATCGATTCTTTCTTTACCTTCTCTTTCTTCATCTACAAATGTCAGACAATACATTAGGGAACTTTCTTTAATATTTGCATTCTGCCACGTGAGGAACTAAAGTAAGATGAAGTTTGTAAGTTTTCAATTTGTATTATATTTCTACATTTAGGAATTTTTGAACCTACTCTGGAATAAATTGGATTAATTTGAACTACGTGTTTTATTGAGAGTGGTTGCCTAAAATTACGGTTCCTCCGTAACAACTATATTTGGCCCATGGTTTCGCGAATATATTGATATTTGTGTTTAAAATTTACTATCGCGCGGTTTTATATGTATAATGAGCTAGACATTTATAAAAAATTTTAATCTATACTATAATAAAGCTGTAGATTGTTTTCCTGTTTGAACTCACTAATCTCCGGAACTACTGAATGGATTTTCATGGGGCTTTAACTGGTATCTAACAGTGACCTCGGACGTAACATAGGCTATATTTTATTAAAACTGGAATGTGGACAAAAAAGATATACCAATTTTTGCAAACAAAATTTACTTTGCACCAAATTCTTTTGAATAAAATTTTGCTTTTCGACGGCATCAACATATGCCAGTGTTTATTTTTCGTTATTGATATTTTTTTCAACTGAAATAATAATCAGTGTCGTTCGTACATATTTAAAACGGTCTTGAACATAGATACATACGAGGTTAAACGTTTCTAGCGGAGTTTTGTGTCTTACAAGAGTGGTGTGTTTCTAAGAATCCGTGAGTCATAAGATAATCGGTAGGTAGAAACTGATTTATTTAAACTTATTTGTATTTCGTGTATCACTATGGGATTTTGTACATAAAAATTAATTAGATATTTTGAAAACGCTCACATTAAAAGCATGTTCTGTGAATTAAGCGGATATAGTCCGAAGCATTCCCTTTAGTCAAGAATTGACATTTGGAATTAATTATGTATTTAATTTGTAGCGAATTTCTAATTTGCGGAATTAAAAGAAATTTAACTATGAGTTGATGGTCAATTCCGGTTAATTAAATTTTTTGGATTCTAGGCTAATTTACCTCATGTGGTTGAGTGCAAGAAAAAACTTTCTTCACATTACAGCCCGACGTTTCGCTAACCTTCTTAGCTTCCTCAGGGGCGATTTCTTTATTAAAAACATCAACAAAAGAAACAAGAAAAATATGCATTAAAATATGCACATTGCAAATGCAAATGGATGTATAGAATTGACAACAACAACCACGCTGTCGAGTTTAAATAGCGGCAAATCAGCTGCACTTGATAGTAGTTGGTTGAATAAGGAAAATGAATTAGCAACAAGAGTTTACGGGATGTACATAGCTCAGTGGTTAACGCTTCTGACTTTGAACATCGAATTCGCAGGTTCGATCCCTGCTGAAGTCTAGAAAAAAGAAGTCTGATGAGGAGATGTGGTGATCTCCGAAATAGTGCTATAACTTCTGCCGCTTAGACTTTGTTGCTTTTTTAATTTTTCCTAATAAACAATCGTGGTACAAAGCTCAATAAAAATATTAAAAATAAAAATGTTAACAAGCCACAATAACATTGACATGCACATTGGATGTTAACATTTTACAAACAATAATAAAAATCACAGTGTTTGACAATTTCGAAAATACATAAATTTATATAAACACTTATTAACTATAATCACGATACATTTATCTGGTCACACTGAAACCTAGAGCTAGTTGGTTTGATACCATCCTTGTATGGTACACTTGTCATACTGATTGCCTGTTACAAACATAATAGGTAAGCAGCCGCGATATCGTCTGTGTCTTCTTTTTTGTTCATTGTTTTATCCCTGTTTTGTAGGATTCGCAGGCTTTCTAGCGTTAATCTTGTTTTTTCTCTTTTTTCCTTGTCTAATATCTTTGCCTAGATCAGCCTTGTGTCCAATTGTCAATATGTGTTGCGCTAACGCGGTGTTGTTCTTGTCCTTACGGATGCCCGCTTCGTGCTCACTTATGCGAACTCCTAACGCCCTTTTCGTTGTTCCGATGTATATTTTATTGCAAACTTCGTTCTCGCTTCCCTTGCATGCAATTTCGTACACTACGTTGTTTTGTTGGTGTGGCTCTACTATTGTTTATGTTTTTGTAAATATTGAAGCTAATGTGTAGTTTGATTTATAAGCTAGCGTTGTGCTTTCGTTGTTTGTATGCTTCTTGTGGTTAAATTTTTCGCTTAATTTAGGCACATATGTGACGCTATAGTATCGTTTCGTCTTATTTGTTGTTTTTGTGGTTGATTTACTTTTGGGTTTGTTGTTGATTTCATTGATTTTTTTTCGTTTAGGCTTTTTATTGGCTGCGTTTCTTTATAAATACATTCCGGATAATCCCATTTCACAGCCGGAATAAACAGAATGCGTTTGTAATATACGTTAACATATCATCAGGAACGTTCTAAAGAATAAGTAAACAAAAAAGTTTATTCCAAACGTTCAGAATGAATAAAGAAAGGCAGCCATTATGTGCGCCGGGTAATTATTGCTCTTGAGTATATGATTTATTTTCTTAATATTTTGTTCTTGAAATTGTTGGTGGCTTATTGTCAAGATTTTATGGATCAGATTTTTGGCTGTATTANAGGTTGCTGAGGATTTTCCCTATATATTTGGACATACCATAGCACGGAACATTGACAGACGAGCAGATTGGTCGTAGTGGCAAGTCTGGTTTGTGGATTTTTGGTAACCCGTATAGTCTTGGTGCGGTGGCAGCTGTGCTGGTGAGTTGCTGTTTTTCTCGGTAGTTAATGATTTTGCTTTTATATAATTCATCGACCAGGGCGTTGTTTTTCTTCTGAAGCGTATGTGTTGAGTCGGCTCTTATTAATTTGTACGTATTTTTGTCCTCGAGTAATTTGTTCATCTTTTCAGTGTAATCCGCTCTTAAGAGTGCTACGGTTTTATTTCCCTTATCCGCATCTTTTATAATGATTTTANAGGATCAGATTTTTGGCTGTATTAATTTATTAATTGATGAATCGTCCCGAGGATGTAGGTTTTGAGTACCAGTCGAGTATTAATTCGCTATTTTTCTTGTAGACCATTATGTCTAAAAACGGTATGCGAAGGTTGTTTTCCTTTTCTACAGTGAACTGCAGTTTAAGGTGGTACTTGTTAAGTGTATTTAATATAATATCCACATCGTTTCGTCTCACTATTGCAAAAATATCATCTACGTATTTTACTAAAAATTTAATGTCAATGTCGAAGTTTTCCTTAAGTTCCAAAATGGTTTTGTCCAGAAGGTCATCCATTATTATGTCAGCAATGGTTGGTGAGAAAGGGTTTTCCATTGGCATTCCATACGTTTGTACGTACAAGTTTTTGTCACACATAAAATAGTTATTGTCTTTTAGACAGAAATTCAGGAGGTTAAGGAACTTGTTTTTACATATGCTGGTATTTTGCTGAATTTTGTACCACTTAGCAGTGATTATTTTTATGGCTAGAGGTATCGGAATATTGGTAAACAGTGAGACCACGTCAAATGACACTAGCATATCTTCGTCATTTATTTGTACATTGTTTAGCCTCTCTTTGAATTCATAAGCATTTTTGATGTTATGCTTCTCGGATATGAGGTTGCTGAGGATTTTCCCTATATATTTGGACATACCATAGCACGGAACATTGACAGACGAGCAGATTGGTCGTAGTGGCAAGTCTGGTTTGTGGATTTTTGGTAACCCGTATAGTCTTGGTGCGGTGGCAGCTGTGCTGGTGAGTTGCTGTTTTTCTCGGTAGTTAATGATTTTGCTTTTATATAATTCATCGACCAGGGCGTTGTTTTTCTTCTGAAGCGTATGTGTTGAGTCGGCTCTTATTAATTTGTACGTATTTTTGTCCTCGAGTAATTTGTTCATCTTTTCAGTGTAATCCGCTCTTAAGAGTGCTACGGTTTTATTTCCCTTATCCGCATCTTTTATAATGATTTTATCTTTGTGTGATTTTAAGAATGCTTTAGTCTTTTTAAAAGTCTCTAATATAAATTTTTCTGACGCATTATGTTTTATATTTCGCTTAAATTGCGTTATGTTGTTACTAAGTTTGCATCTTGCGATCTCCTTAGTCTTGTCATCTTTTTCTTGTTGGATGATTTGTGTAATGTGAAGAAAGTTTTTTCTTGCACTCAATCACACGAGGTCAATTAGCCTAGAATCCAAAAAGTTTAATTAACCAGAATTGACCATCAACTCTTAATCAAATTACTTAAGTTCGGAAGGCCTGCCGAAGTATTATCTTTTTATTTACATCAACAAACAGAAACACCTCCACAAACATGAAAGACTTCTACAAACACATGAGATACAAACATGGGGAATACACGTGTATGACGCTTAAACACTACAGTAAACAACAACAGAAACTAGCCGAACAGATGAAACAACTGAAATTCTTATTAGAGTGCAGGAGATATGATATCAACAACTGAAGCACAGCATAAGTGAATTAGAATTGAACTCCTTCATCTGCAAACAAAATTGCTTAAGTCAACGCATAACCGAAGAACGGAAATCGACACAAACATCGAAGCTAGATATGTTAAAACACCAACAAATACAAAGGATGGGAATAAAACTAAACAATGATTGGTTTGTGAACAAAACGGACATTGATTTCCCAATAGAAATAAAGTGGTTGTTGTCATTAGGTAGAAAATTTACTTTACCTACAACGAAAGCTAGTCTCCAACCGGTCCGAATGATAGCGGAAATGGAACAAATCATCCAACAAGAAAAAGATGACAAGACTAAGGAAATCGGAAGATGCAAACTTAGTAACAACATAACGCAATTTAAGCGAAATATAAAACATAATGCGTCAGAAAAATTTATATTAGAGACTTTTAAAAAGACTAAAGCATTCTTAAAATCACACAAAGATAAAATCATTATAAAAGATGCGGATAAGGGAAATAAAACCGTAGCACTCTTAAGAGCGGATTACACTGAAAAGATGAACAAATTACTCGAGGACAAAAATACGTACAAATTAATAAGAGCCGACCCAACACATACGCTTCAGAGGAAAAACAACGCCCTGGTCGATGAATTATATAAAAGCAAAATCATTAACTACCGAGAAACACAGCAACTCACCAGCACAGCTGCCACCGCACCAAGACTATACGGGTTACCAAAAATCCACAAACCAGACTTGCCACTACGACCAATCTGCTCGTCTGTCAATGTTCCGTGCTATGGTATGTCCAAATATATAGGGAAAATCCTCAGCAACCTCATATCCGAGAAGCATAACATCAAAAATGCTTATGAATTCAAAGAGAGGCTAAACAATGTACAAATAAATGACGAAGATATGCTAGTGTCATTTGACGTGGTCTCACTGTTTACCAATATTCCGATACATCTAGCCATAAAAATAATCACTGCTAAGTGGAACAAAATTCAGCAAAATACCAGCATATGTAAAAACAAGTTCCTTAACCACCTGAATTTTTGTCTAAAAGACAATAGCTATTTTATGTGTGACAAAAACTTGTACGTACAAACGTATGGAATGCCAATGGGAAACCCCCTCTCACCAANCAATTATTATAACGGACGCGGATAAGGGAAATAAAACCGTAGCACTCTTAAGAGCGGATTACACTGAAAAGATGAACAAATTACTCGAGGACAAAAATACGTATAAATTAATAAGAGCCGACCCAACACATACGCTTCAGAGGAAAAACAACGCCCTGGTCGATGAATTATATAAAAGCAAAATCATTAACTACCGAGAAAAACAGCAACTCACCAGCACAGCTGCCACCGCACCAAGACTATACGGGTTACCAAAAATCCACAAACCAGACTTGCCACTACGACCAATCTGCTCGTCTGTCAATGTTCCGTGCTATGGTATGTCCAAATATATAGGGAAAATCCTCAGCAACCTCATATCCGAGAAGCATAACATCAAAAATGCTTATGAATTCAAAGAGAGGCTAAATAATGTACAAATAAATGACGAAGATATGCTAGTGTCATTTGACGTGGTCTCACTGTTTACCAATATTCCGATACATCTAGCCATAAAAATAATCACTGCTAAGTGGAACAAAATTCAGCAAAATACCAGCATATGTAAAAACAAGTTCCTTAACCACCTGAATTTTTGTCTAAAAGACAATAGCTATTTTATGTGTGACAAAAACTTGTACGTACAAACGTATGGAATGCCAATGGGAAACCCCCTCTCACCAACCATTGCTGACATAATAATGGATGACCTTCTGGACAAAACTATTTTGGAACTTAAGGAAAACTTCGATATTGACCTTAAATTTTTTAGTAAAATACGTAGATTATATTTTTGCAATAGTGAGACGAAACGATGTGGATATTATATTAAATACACTTAACAAGTACCACCTTAAACTGAAGTTCACTGTAGAAAAGGAAAACAACCTTCGCATACCGTTTTTAGACATAATGGTCTACAAGAAAAATAACGAATTAATACTCGACTGGTACTCAAAACCTACATCCTCGGGACGATTGATCAATTATCTATCCTCGCAACCATCTAAATATATAAAAAAATATTAAGAAAATAAATCATATACTCAAGAGCAATAATTACCCGGCGCACATAATAAAAAGCCTAATCGAACAAAAAATCAATGAAATCAACAACAAACACAAAAGTAAATCAATCACAAAAACAACAGATAAGACGAAACGATACTATAGCGTCACATATGTGCCTAAATTAAGCGAAAAATTTAACCATAAGAAGTATACAAACAACGAAAGCACAACGCTAGCTTATAAATCAAACTGCACACTAGCTTCAATATTTACAAAAACAAAAACAATAGTAGAGCCACACCAACAAAACAACGTAGTGTACGAAATTGCATGCAAGGGAAGCGAGAACGAAGTTTGCAATAAAATATACATCGGAACAACGAAAAGGGCGTTAGGAGTTCGCATAAGTGAGCACAAAGCGGACATCCGTAAGAACAAGAACAACACTGCGTTCGCGCAACACTTATTGACAAGTGGACACAAAGCTGATCTAGGCAAAGTAAAGATATTAGACAAGGAAAAAAGAGAAAAAACAAGATTAACGCTAGAAAGCCTGCGAATCCTACAAAACAGGGATAAATCAATGAACAAAAAAGAAGACACAGACGATATCGCGGCTGCTTACCTATTATGTTTGTAACAGGCAATCAGTATGACAAGTGTACCACACAAGGATGGTATCAAAACAACTACCCTGGAAACCAAAGTTCCCGAAATCTTAAGGAAATCGTTAGGAGTATCTCACTTCTGTAACGATTTTTTTACGAATTTTCAAAGAAAATTATATGAAGTGGTTGACACGAACCCGTAAAGAAATTTCTGTACGAAAAATAAAGAATATTCTGGAAAAATTCTGAAAAATATTCTTCACATAGCAACATTATTTTCGTTGCTTCACATATTTTCTTCCCAAATTTCGTAAAAGAATGGAGGTGTGCGTGATTTATTTCATTTTAGAAAATTCGACAAAATATCGAATTAAATCTTAACGAATTCTTTGAAATTTCTTTACAATGCAGAATACTCTGAAAAAATGGTTTGCAGGGTAGGTCTAAGCTTCAGTGTGACCAGATAATTGTATCGTGATTATAGGCGCATATTTATAGTCATATTAAGTACTCAACCAAGTCGAAACTATTCTAATACCATGTCCCCACCAAAAAGTTAACCATCTCAAATCGAACTTAACCACATCACTAACTATTGCTTTCCACACTGCGGTTTGAGGTTTATAAAACAGTACAAATGTAAAGAACAGTGTTCTGACCTTAAAATCAATTCAGGACTAAATTACTGCAAAAATCGGATTACTAGATTGAATTTTTTATTTTTGTTTCTGACATTAATTGTTTAACTAAAATATTTTCTATTCATGCAAAATAAGAACGCGGGGCAATGTAAGGATAATATGTTACATATTTAGGTAATTTTTAGCATTTTCTCTTTAGTAGAACGTATCTAATACTTAATTTTTTAAAAAGCAAACCTTTTATACTTTATATAAATTTCATTCTACATATATTTTTTAACAAGTTAAGTAAAGTTCTGCATCCGCCAATTTGTACAGCCATATATCAAAAAATAACGAAGTTACTTTATTGACGCATTGCTATGAAAGAGTTACTTTTTAACAGTGAGATTTGGCTAACTTTCAATTTTTTTACTGAAACCGGTGGTGAACACTCAAAAAACGGCCCCAAGAGGGGCATAACATGAATGAAAAAACGGAATAGATTTGAAGTCAAGCGGAGTAGAGGAGTAGATTTCAAATTTTTTCAAAAACCGGTGTAAATCTAATCTGATCNAATTTTTATATGGCGAAACTACGCTAATTCAAGTGGGTTATCGGGATAACCAACTCAATAGCCATAACTACGTGGTTAGCTCCGGTGGGGACATGATACAAGTCACAACGAAAGCTATTCATAGTCGCCTTAGTTTCGACTTTTCTGGCTAAGTACCAACTAAAAATTTAGTTTCGGCTGCAGCTGCAACTAAGTCGTAACTAG